TGGCTATTTTTAGCCGTCCTTGTGTTCGGAGGTGGTCAGTAATGCATATCTGTATATTTACTGATCATAATACTTATCTCCTATAAATAATTAATTTAAAATTTATTTTTTTACAAAGAATATTCAGTAAATGACTGCGTTAATTCTTGAAACTACCGACAGTGGTAAATTTAGGATATAAATGATGAACAGAAGTCACGGCATGGATTCGGAGTTTGGTCCTTAATGATCACCTACCAGTTATAATGGTAGCCTCCCTTTTTCGCAAAACAAGTATATAAATTAAAGAAAATACTTGCAGTGTGTTTAATGTATTACAGTATATTATAAATAAATAAATAAACAAATAAATCGGCAAATCTATTTCAAGTAAATGGAAATATTTTACACACACCAACATTAGTTCCAATTAAATAATTGCCGCTTAAGTGAGTCACTAGTGTACACCAGCCGGTAAAATTTGATGCCAATACTTGAAGTGAATTGGCATTATTTTAAATAACCAACCATAAATAAATGGAAAAAAGATCAGAGGTGAGAAACATTATATTGTATGTATGTTGTGTTGTCAAAGGAAAAGAAACAATTGAAACTCTGCAATTGTGTGTAAATGAGGCAGAAAGATAAATCAGCAACCTAAGACTTGGTCACAATTTTTGTGATGCCATATGGAAGTATGGTCTACCATTAGACAATACTGTACATTATGCTTCCAATATCTTCCCAGGCAGTAGAATCTCCCTGTTTGGTAGCTGCCTAAAACTTTTAGTAATATTACTTTGATACAACATGATAAATTAGACAAACAATGAAAATAAACAAACAAAAGTTATTTACCAAGACCTCTCTGAGAACAGAGGGATGGAGGTTGAGATAAGACGGCTATTTATAGCCTGTCTTTGTGTAGGAAGTCGAACACACTAGAAATAATTAATTTAAAATTTATATTTTTTGCATAGAATATTCAGTCCATGACTGCGATTATAAAATATTGTGATATATATATATATATATATATATATATATATATATATATATATATATATATATATTTGTGTAATAAATGTAAGTAAGTATGTACAGTAATCTTTTCACCAAATCCTAATGAAACACTAATGAATTAGAATACTGTAGCTCGCTGAAGCAAGCTTATAAATTAAAGAAAATATCACAGCGTGTTTAATATATTACAGCATGATATAAATAAACAAATAAATCGGTAAATCCATTAAGCAAATGAAACAATTGTATTCTAAACCTACAACAGTCAAGCTAAATAACAAACTTTAAGGAGTCACTAGTGCCATACACTACACCAACCGTAAAATTTGATGCCATACTTGAAGTGAATTGGCTTTATTAAAAAACCAAAAACACACCAAGGGATGGTTGGTAAAGGACTATCATCAAGCCCCCAATGGTAAGTGTCACATTTGGGGTACCGGTCTTATACAGCAAATAGGCTCAAAAGCTACTTTTTAAATGGAAAGGGTCCCTCATATACACCCTGTCGCCTTTGTAGGCCCGAGATATACGGTAACAGAACATAAGATTAATTCCAAAAGAACCCAGCCCTAACTCCAAACTCCACTTTTTACTACAAATAACTATGTTGTAGTAAAAATAACATCTTAATTTTATGATGGCACATGCAAATAATTAAAAACTAAAGAAATAGAGAAATACAAACGCCAAGTTAATGTCCATTCAAATAATGACCCAACTCCCTCCCCTCTTCTCAACAATACACACACACTGGCTCTTCCCTCTGAGAAATTTTGCGAAAACCAGGTATAGTAATAAATAATTCTCAAACTAAAGTTAGATAATATACCGACATTGCTGAACCTTGTAAGACCAGGAATATTTTGAATATAAATGTCATATATTTTCACCAAAAGATAACATATTTACTCAGAATAAACTTACATCTAAAATTTATAGCCTAACAAAAATCTATGATGTTTATATTCAAAATGATCAGCAAATTGTAAGAATTCCAGCAATGTAAAATATATTCTGGCCGGATAATTTGTACGAATTTTATGAGCTAAAACAAACATCAATTTTATTATGGTAGTGTTGTGAGGATGTGTGAGTGGTGTGGGGGGTTGTGGTAGTGTTGTGAGGATGTGTATGTGGTGTGGGGGGTTGTGGTAGTGTTGTGAGGATGTGTGAGTGGTGTGGGGGTTGTGGTAGTGTTGTGAGGATGTGTAAGTGGTGTGGGAGGTTGTGGTAGTGTGTGAGGATGTGTGAGTGGTGTGGGGGGTTGTGGTAGTGTTATGAGGATGCTGTATGAGTAGTGTGGGGGCTTTGTGGTTCAGTTGTGAGGATGTGTGAGTGGTGTGGGGGGGTGCAGTGGTAGTGTTAGGAGGATGCGGTATGAGTAGTGTGGGGGCTTTGTGGTACAGTTGTGAGGATGTGTGAGTGGTGTGGGGGGGTTGTGGTAGTGTTGTGAGGATGCTGTATGAGTAGTGTGGGGGCTTTGTGGTACAGTTGTGAGGATGTGTGAGTGGTGTGGGGGGTGTGGTAGTGTTGTGAGGATGTGTAAGTGGTGTGGGGTGTTGTGGTACAGTTGTGAGGATGTGTGGGTGGTGTGGGGGGTTGTGGTAGTGTTGTGAGGATGCTGTAAGAGTAGTGTGGGGGCTTTGTGGTACAGTTGTGAGGATGTGTAAGTGGTGTGGGAGGTTGTGGTAGTGTGAGGATGTGTGAGTGGTGTAGGGGGGGTTGTGGTAGTGTTATGAGGATGCTGTATGAGTAGTGTGGGGGCTTTGTGGTTCAGTTGTGAGGATGTGTGAGTGGTGTGGGGGGGTTGTGGTAGTGTGAGGATTTGTAAGTGGTGTGGGGGTTGTGCAGTGGTAGTGTTAGGAGGATGCGGTATGAGTAGTGTGGGGCTTTGTGGTTCAGTTGTGAGGATGTGTGAGTGGTGTGGGGGGGTTGTGCAGTGGTAGTGTTAGGAGGATGCGGTATGAGTAGTGTGGGGACTTTGTGGTTCAGTTGTGAGGATGTGTGAGTGGTGTGGGGGGGTTGTGCAGTGGTAGTGTTAGGAGGATGCGGTATGAGTAGTGTGGGGGCTTTGTGGTTCAGTTGTGAGGATGTGTGAGTGGTGTGGGGGGGTTGTGCAGTGGTAGTGTTAGGAGGATGCGGTATGAGTAGTGTGGGGGCTTTGTGGTACAGTTGTGAGGATGTGTGAGTGGTGTGGGGGGGTTGTGGTAGTGTTGTGAGGATGTGTGAGTGGTGTGGGGGGGTTGTGGTAGTGTTGTGAGGATGCTGTATGAGTAGTGTGGGGGCTTTGTGGTACAGTTGTGAGGATGTGTGAGTGGTGTGGGGGGGTTGTGGTAGTGTTGTGAGGCTGCTGTATGAGTAGTGTGGGGGCTTTGTGGTACAGTTGTGAGGATGTGTGAGTGGTGTGGGGGGGTTGTGGTAGTGTTGTGAGGATGCTGTATGAGTAGTGTGGGGGCTTTGTGGTACAGTTGTGAGGATGTGTGAGTGGTGTGGGGGGGTTGTGGGAGTGAGTCATAACCACACACCACCCTCAACACACTACCTCTTTCCTGCATCACCATCCAACACTACCAACGTGCAACACACCTGGTCACCTCTACATTATTAACACCTATACTGGAGTTGATTGGGATCATGTGCTGTGTACATCGATGTATTTCTGCCCGACACTGAATACGTCATCAACCTCTAGGGTCCAGGATAATATTAAGCCCTGGCACGGTGACTCCTCTCTCTTAAAGTGCATTAAGGTGATTGTATTTGGCGTCATCTAATCCCTAACTTCATAATGGAGTTGTCAAGGCTTCACTGTAATTACAATCTCCAGTTTTTTAGTTTCGTTTATTCAACTGGTATTATATCTACAAGAGTTATTTAACCAGACGTGGACATTTCTTTTTGTAAAGTCATATGTAGTATGAAATACAATATTTCAGTATACGAGTGTCATGTTGAGATGGGAGTGGTGACATTAGTGGGGCAGCTAAATGCAATTTTTCAAGAGAATCATGAAAATGGTGGTACAAGCACCAAATTTGGCATGGTAATTCTCTAATGGTTACTAGTCAAGTCTGCCTGATTGGCCATTTAAAAATTCAAGATGGCGACCATTTTTCAAGGTGACCGCCATATTGACCTTCAAAAGTTGATTTTTCTTATAGAAATTGATGTAGTTGGTCAATCTGGGTGATCTTGGTGTCGATATGTATGTTTTCAAGCATGCTTAGATGATTTTTTATAGTTTTAAGTCCATTGTAACATTTTTATCCACATAAAATAACACTTTTAGTAAAAAATATAACAAAAAAGAACTTACTAAAAAAAAGTACGGTAAACAGTGGGAACACAGTCCCACCACCGAGACGAGGTAACACTCCCACCACCGATCGTCTCGTGTGAAGCAAGCATATAAATTAAAGAAAATACTTGCAGTGTGTTTAATATGTTACAGTATATTATAAATAAACAAATAAATCGGTAAATCCATTTCAAGTAAATGGAAAAATTTTACTCGACACCGACATTAGTTCCAGTTACCGGTAAATAGCAGACGCTTCAGTGACGTCACTAGTGTTTACACTACACCAGCGGGTAACATTTGATGACATTACTTGAAGTGAATTGGCCTTATTTTAAAAAACCAAGGATGGTTGGTAGAGGACTACTGAGTCAGTGGGTAAGTGTCACATTTGGGGTACTGGTCTTATACAGCGAATAGAGCTCAAAAACTACTTTTTAAATGGAAATTTGGGGGGGCCGTCTTATGCACCCCGACGCCTTATAGGCCGAGATATACGGTATGCAAGTGTGGAAAATAGCTTAAAAATGTTGATAATGATGATAAGAGCACCAGATTCAAGTCTGTGTTAAAGTTCAAGGTCACAGTCGGTCATTGGATAAATTTACCATCATGGTAGGTATCTTTTTATGACATACATGGGTCTTAAGGCCAGTATTTAAGTGTTTCCTTAAAATAGATGTTTTTTCTGTTTCAGATTGAAATGGGTATGAAGAACCATGAACTTGTGCCCAGTCCACTTGTAGCTCAGATAGCTAACATACGGTCAGGTGGAGTTCACAAAAAGCTACAAGAGCTATGTAAACATCGATTGTGTTCATATGAACGTGGAAAGCACTGTAGGTTATTTTTTGTAAATTACGAATGATTTTTTTATGTACCGTACAGTACAGTATCTCCATTATGTATGATGTATACTGTATATTATAACAGGAGAGAATATTCAGTTTCTTCTGTAGACCTTTCAGTTACTTGATATCAGGTATAGATATTCCTAAACCTAATTCAGTACATGTAATAATTATTTGCATGAAAATCCTTAATGTTCACAAAAATTAATGACAGAATAGTACAGTACAGTACAGCACAATGTTTTATGCCAACTCTGTTGCTTTATATTTTGGTTGCCTTCATGAAGTAGCTAATTATCTGTATTTAAATCTAGGTCAGGTCCTCTTTCCTGAAAAAAATTTCTCATGTTTTTTGTCTTGTTAATAATCTCAGTTTGCCTTACTTTAATTAATATTGTGTCTTATAAGCTGTCTGCTAAAACAATTCATACAAGATGGGAAATTAGATACATTATTGATTATGAAAGAATGTAGATAGAGTGGAGTGATTGAGAAACTGATAAGGGAGATAGTAGACATGAACAAAATGCAGTTTGCAATATGCCAGGTAAGGGGACTACAGAGGTAATATTTATGGCTAGGCAGCTACAAGAGAAATATCTGGGAAGAAGAGAAAATTGTACCTCATATTTAGTATTCACATACTGTACAGTATTCCCTTAAAGCTCACTGTTTTAAAGCTTGCATCCCTCGGAAACTCACAGATTGCCATGGAAAATAAATAAAATGAATTTGAGGTTGTGCGCTAGGGATCAAGAGGAGTCAACACTACAGGACAGTACAGAGCATATATTTCCCAGGTCATAAGATGCACTCTATTGTAATAGCCCCTCCCTTATAGGCAGAAGTATTTACAGCTGCTCCTTGACTTATGACGGGGTTAGAGACCCAAATCCAGGTCGTAAGTCGAATTGGTCGTAAGTGGAAAATGCTTAAATAATACATAGAAAATCTAAAATGGGTGTATCTTTTTCTTCTCAGCCATTTTAAAGTGAATTACAAACAAAAATTTTGTCAGTACACAGCGCAATCACTAACGTTGGGACTCGAAAATACGTAATTTGACAAAATTTTGGGACGACTGAGGCGGTCGTATGTCCAGGTGGTCATAGGTCGAGTATGTCTTAAGTTGAGGAGTAGCTGTATAGTAATGGGTTAATTATATTAGACTTATATACTCTATCACCCTCTGTAAATTTCCACTAGCTATGCGGTAGCATGTTCAGAGCACGTGTTAAGGTGTGCCCACGGGAAGTCGCGTTACTTAATACTGAGCTAAGGCATTGAGTGGCCGGCTCTCTGGCCGCCTGATAAGGGCAGTAGTTTGATATCCTTGACTAGAGGAAGACATTATAGAGAGCCATCGTGGATGGTTCCGTCTTCCCTCGAGGGAGGACGTCGGACATATTACCATTCTCCCTCGACCGGTATTACAGGCACTCTTACTCAACCCCTCACCCCAATAGGACATACTTAGCAGAGCTATTTAACATAGCCTCCGTCCTCATTTAACACTCATAGCTGCAGTGATTAAGTTCCGGTGATACTCCCTTTTAAAAGTGTACATAGAAACTTTTTATTATAAACACAGAAAATGAACACATTGGATTTCACTACAGAAGATCCAATAAACTTTGATCTATATTTTAGTATGTCTAAAATTTCCATTAAAATAAAGCAATAATAAAGAGATGCATTCCCAAGTGTGACCTTTTCAAATCTTTTGTGTGGCTTTTTACCCTCTTTCCCCCAAAAAACAATACAATTAATGAAAATTGCAAACTATATTCTTTAAATAATGTTTCTAGTGCACCTTATACAATATACCGGGTAAATGAATAATATGGTCAGACAAGAGGAGATGGGACGCCATTGTTTTCATTTGTGTTTACAATCGGGAGTCCGGGACGATAGTCCCACGAGATAATGAAGAAAATAAGACCCTGGTTGTGGCTGTAGTAAAATTAATGCAAAAAAAAAAACGAATATACAGTACAGGTTGTACCCCTCTAGTCCGGCATTCTGTGGTCCGGAAACTCCCGTGGTCCGGAACGATTTTAGTTTGCCCAATAGGTAGATAAGCAGCTTTTTTTTTTTTTTATCTGAATAATTATTATTATTATTATTATTATTATTATTATTATTATTATTATTATTATTATTATTATTATTATTATTATTATTATTATTATTATTACAGGAGTATTACATTTTCGCTCCTCAGGCCCCAATGTAGGTCAGTGATCTGTGCCCGGGTGGGCTAATCCCCGTAAAAAAACAACAACAAAGCCGCGGGAAATTAAGGTTTGTTTACATCCGGCAGTTCGGCTCTCTCTCTCTGTTTGTCTATACAGAGTACAACATTTAACCCTTCAATATATATATGAGCTGTAAATAAGTGTTGCTTTCATATTCTTATGTAGAGTAATGATATGTTTTCACATGTGCGCACTTACATATGCGCAGTCTCACTTTTTTCCTTTACCATTAATGGTTAGCTACTTATATTGTTCCATTTATTAACATTAAATAACATTACTTCAAACATCCATATTATTTTTTACATTAATTTTACTACAGCTACAACCAGGGTCTTATTTTCTTGTTTTATATGTAGAACCAATCAGTCACTGGTTTTGTAAACATTAACGAAAACAATGCCGGCAGCCGTCTCGTCTCCTCGTGTGTTTTAATATTCCACCAATTATTAATTAATTGTATTGTTCATTTTGCAACACAAACATTAATTCAATAAAAAAAAATCAGAAACATTAATTAAAACATATATGAACAGTAAATAAGTGTTGCTTTCATATTCTTATGTAGAGTAATGACGATATGTTTTTCACATGTGCGCACTTATGCGCAGTCTCACTTTTTTTCTTTAACATTTATGGTTTGCTATTTATTGTTTTATTTATTAACATTAAATAAAATTACTTAAAACAATCATATTAATTTTTTACATTAATTTTACTACAGCTACAACCAGGGTTTTATTTTCTTGTTTTATATGTAGAACCATTCAGTCACTGGTTTTGTAATCAATGAAAACAATGTGGTCTCATTTCCTCTTGTGTTTTAATATTCTATGTATTATTAATGAATTGTATTGCTCATTTTGCACGCATAAACATTAATTCAATCAAAAAGATATTCAGTAATAAACAATAATGAATCTTTTGTACATAAGAGAAATGACGCTGTTTAAACGATTGTGCACATCTGAACGTTGGCGGGCCTCTCAAACCCGTCGAAATTCGAGTTTCCACCGTCAAAATTTTAAATTGTGTACAGTAGTACCCCGATTTATGCGGTCAATTGAACCCACAGGGTGCCGCGTTAAGTGGAATCCGCGTAAATGGAACAACACAACATATGGGATTAATTCCAATAGAGACTGGCCCGACCCCCAAACTCCACTTTTTTCGGCACAATACCTATGTTGTAGTAAAAATAACATCCAAATTTTATGATGGTATGCTCACACAATTAATATTTAAGAGAAATACAGTCGCCAGGTTAATGTCCATTCAAATAATAGACTCAAATCCCCCACCCCCCTCTTTCCAGCTCACTGGCCCCTACCTCTCTGAGAAATGATTGGGTGAAACACTAGATTTTAACGTTTAGTAATAAATAATACCTCAGACTAAAGTTAGGATAATATAATTGACATTTCTGGATTCCTTGCAGGTCAGGGAATATTTTGAATGTAAACTTCATATATTTTGCACAAAAGATAAAATACTTGCTTTGTGTAAACCAAATTATTACATTAGATCTAAAATTTGTATGTCTAATGCAAAATCCATGATGTTTATATTCAAAATGATCATCATATTGTAAGAATTCCAGCAATGTAAATTATATTCTGGTCCAGTAATTTGTATGAATTTTATGAGCTAAAACAAATATCTTCAGTTAATAAAAAAAAAAATATTCTTCACGACACTATCTGTCAATCAAAGTGCCCCAACTTGCCTCCCCCCTTCTTCCAACCGCGCCAGATGGTCGGTGGGTCCCAACCCTCCCCCCCACCCCCCACCTTCCCTCCTTACCAGAGAAATGTTGGGTGAAAAAACTAATTTTAACTTTTAGTAACAAATAATACCTCAGACTAAAGTTAGGATAATATAATTGACATTGCTGGATTCCTTGTAAGACCAGGAACATTTTGAATATAAATGTCATATATTTTGCACAAAAGATAACATATTTACTCAGAGTAAACATTAGATCTAAAATTTGTGTCTAATGCAAAATCTATGATGTTTATATTCAAAATGATCATCAAATTGTAAGAATTCCAGCAATGTAAATTATATTCTGGCCGGGTAATTTGTATGAATTTTATGAGCTAAATAAAAAAAAAATATATACTTCACGCGTATATGGGTAGATGAACCGCGTAAAGTGAAAGTTCGGAGGCACCGCGTATATGAGAAATCGCGTAAAGTGAAACCGCGTAAAGCGGGGTACAGCTGTAGTGTTTTTTGTGTGTCCAAATAAAAAACGTTGAATTAAAAACTCGCGAAATTTGAGAAGCTACTGTACGAGATTGTTTTCAAAGAGACCACGAAGCAGTGAAAGTGGTGCTAACGTAAGCGCGAGTCACTATCTGTCCAGGAAAAGGGTGAATTTCCATGGTCCAGAAATTTCCATGGTCCGGCACCGGTCAGGTCCCGAGGTTGCCGGACTAGAGAGGTACAACCTGTATATGTTTTAAGTAATGTTATTTAATGTTAATAAATGGAACAATAGAAGTAGCTAACTACTAATGGTAAAGAAAAAAAAGTGAGATGGATTGGGAACGCCAAAATATGCATGTCCATTTAAGGAAACGGCTCATTTATCTGATTAAGAATATGTACAAAAGATTCATTATTGTTTATTACTGAATATGTATTTGATGGAATTAATCTTAAATATATGCGAAATGAACAATACAATTCATTAATAATACGTAGAATATTAAAGTACACAAGAGGATAAGAGACGGCATTGTTGTCATTGTTTACACCCATAATACCTGTATCAGTTATCCACCTGAAACTGAAGAAAATAGGACCCTGGTTGTTGTTGTATTGTAGTAAAATTAATGAAAAAAATATGTATGTTTTAATTAATGTTATTTAATGTACAGTAGAAGTACCCACTGATATTAAAGAAAAAAGTGAGACATAGTGGAACACCAATGTACACGTGCGCACTCAAGGAAACATAGTCATTTATCTTAAGAATATGTATGAGAGATTCACTATTGTTTATTTCTGAATATGTATTTCATTGAATTAATGTTTATATATGTGAAATGAACAATGCAATTCATTAATAATACATAGAATATTAAAACACATTTGAGGAGACAAGACCGCATTGTTTTCGTGAGTGACTATGGTTCTTCATAAGAAACTAAAGAAAATAAGACCCTGGTTGTAGCTGTAGTGAACTTAATGTAAATAAATTTAATGCCAGTATGTATGTTTTAAGTAATGTTATTTAATGATAATAAGTGGAACACTAGAAGTAGCTAACCACTAATGGTAAAGAAATAAAGCAAAACGATTGGGAACACCAACAGATGTACAGTAAGTGTGTACATGTGAAAACATATCGTCATTTCTCTACATATGAATATGAAAGCAACACTTATTTACTGTTCATATATGTTTTAAATAATATTTACGAATGTGAAACAAAAATTCTGCTCACCAATGGTGGTAAAGTCTAAATCATAAGGACACCCAATGAATATTGTGTGAGTTTTTACTCATGACAAAGTCAGCAAGTTGAACTTTTTTTTTGAAGCTGTTGCATTTCATAAAGCTGTAGCTGAAACTGTTATTGAACCTAAGGTTGATGTTGAAGCTGCTTATGATGCTGAATTTGATGGTGTAGCTGAAGTTGATGGTTTAGGTCTTCGAATAATAAAGCTGTTGAAAGAACCTTGCACAGCTGCTTTCTTTTCTCATTTTACATCTTTATGTAGAGGTCATTTGCGTTTATTTAAATTTTAATGATTTGATCTGTTAATGGATCCACTTCAGAAAATATGTTCATTGCTTGCTCCATATAATATCCACAGACGTCTCACATTTTTCATATCGTTTTAACACATCTAATTTCTCGGCTAAGCTTATACACTTTCTATTACTTTTTGAAACAACACTACCATCACTTGCTCATGTTGAATAGGGGTGCAAAAATGCTGTAAGAGACCAGAGAAAGTTTTCTCCTTTTCCTGTACAGATGTGTGAAAACAAAGAGCCCGCCAGCTGCGATTGTTTATATAACTGTAGTGACAATCCCGGCAGCCTCCATGCGCAAGGTATGTTTTTTTTTTTTTTTATATCGGGATTTAGTTATTATTTATACAAAAATTTAATTTATTTTTTAATTTCGTCGTAAATACAAAGTATATAATGGCGTCAATTGAATTGGGTCCTAAATTAATCAGGGTCTTAGATATGAATCTTCGTTAGTTGAACCGTCGTTATCGGAGGCTTTACTGTAATGTGTTATACAACTGTTACAAAGCATTTACTGTTATACTATAATTAGCAAAGTACAGTGATCCCTCGGTTAACGAATTATCTTCCATAAGAATCTTCAATTCGGTTAACGAACAAAAATTTGGTTAACGAAATTCTTACAAAATCATGTCAACGTGTTTTCGCTTGCTCACCAGCTGGAATATTAGTCTGCTAATACTGTAATCGGTTCTAGTGCTTAAATTCATTCCCATTTGAGTAAATATCAAGAAGGTTGTACTATTCAATAATTTTCCAAGTTTTATATTAAATTTTTTAGTCATTTTAACACTTATTTAACATAATTGGAGTACAGAAAACTAGTTTTTGGTGTGCCAATCAGCCACTTGACTCACCCACCAAGGCATTAGTTTGTATCTCTGGTCAGTGGAGGAAACATCTTGCTTGTGACTCTCTTGAACGTAAATTATTTTTACATTTTTACAGTATAATTATTGGTCATTCTGAAATTTATTTAACATATTGACAATATGTAATGCAGTGCATTGTTGATTAAAAGAAAATAATCTTGAATTACACCTAGTGACCTTCAAATTTTATGGGTGAAATGACTGCATGAAGCATGGGGTGATTTCTCCTCCACCCCCACTTCCTTCTCTTCTCCCTTCTCCACCCCCACTTCTAATTCCCATCATCATCATCATCAACCAGGAGCCTTCTACATACACACCTCAATGTAAGTGTACTTCACTGCATTTATTTTTACTTTGTATGTAATTTTCGGTGAGCTGGAACCAATTACCCAAAATCCCATTGAAACAATGGTTTCAGTTAACGAACGACCTTCTGGAATGAATTGTGTTCGTTAACCGAGGGACCACTGTATACTGTACTGTATTTTGGAAATTTTTTTTTTGCAGATTTAATAGCCTACTGTACTGGCAAAGCCAAGTCACTGGCTATATGCTATCATGTTTCTCACTACCACAGCTCACTATCACCTATTATCAAACATTTGTTGGTATTATTAATAAAATTTCCCTGATTTAATACAAAAGGATATAATTATACGTATAGGCACCTATGGTATACCCATTACAAATACTAATTGGTACCGAGCATGTTCACTAGGAACTGTTCAGTACAGGGATTGTTTACATTCTGTGCACCAGATCAGCTGATGTTTCAGAGGTACAGTGATATCCCTTTAGCCGGAACAATTGGTGCAGAGCACTTCCGGGAATGAGAGATTTCCGGCTAACCAGACGACTTTCTCAAACCTGGAAAAATTCCTTTTTCCCTGGAATATTTTCCGGTTACGAGGAAAAGTTTCCGAGTGTCTAAACTAGACATCTTGCACACGCAGACACTAGCCCACGTCCCCAAGATGTTTCTGGGTGTTGGGGATGGTTCCTTGAGTCTCAACTCGAGGAGTCTGTAAATGCAGTTCTAATTAAGTTAGAAACTCCATTTCTTTACTATAATAATCCAGAATAGTTTATCTAAAAGTTTGGTAAAATAAATATATTTGAAAATAACAAATTTAAATGATACAGGCATAAATGAAACTGTGTGTTACAGCAAAAACTGGTATTTTCCACTCCCATAGAGCTGTTTCGGATTAATGGGTCTCCTGTACCTGACCTGACGCAATGTCAGGTGGAGGTAGGGTGGGGGATTAGTGGTCTCATATTACTGATCTGATGGAATGTCAGGTCACCCTTTCTTGGCCAGGGGATTAGTGGGTCTCATGACCTGAAGATGTCTTGAATAACACGAAACCTTCAGTATTTTTAGAGAGATTGTGATACGTACTGTATAAGTATACATGAGCAAAGTTGTATCCCTTCAACATTATGTTACATAACATTTTAAAATATGGAGTGAGAAAGCAGAAAGGTGTGGGTGATTAGAGAGATGGAGTGGAAAAGAGTGTTGCCAAGCGCTCCTCAACAGCTGATATTTAACTCGCTACCATGCAGTCACACACATGCTGGGGGTGTGTGAGTGGTGTTAGCTTGTGTGTGTGGTTGTTAGAGGGTGTTTTTGTGTGATGTAGGGTTGTATGTGTGATGTGTAGGTTGTGTTGGTGTGTTGACAGAAGTGAACCTTTTTGGGGGATAGGGTCACGTGGTCAATTCCCCCCCCTTTTCTCACTCAAGCGTGGCTAATTGTGATAGGGAGATGAATTTGATACCATAATGATTCTTAATAAATTCTCTCTGAAACGTTTCCAATAAGATATCCTTAAACAAAATATTTCTACTGTATATAATATAGTAAAGGGAATTCCATTCTTTTATAATTTTTTTTTAGAAGTGTTGATACTGGAGTCGGTAAAATCAGTTCTAATTTTGTTAGACACCATTTTTTTTTCTCAAAATAATCTTGTATACTTTTTCTAAAAGTTTGCTTAAATAAATACAGGTATATGTAAAAACAAAAGCTCTATATGATAAGGTTGTGAATACAGGGTAGAGCTGTTACTTTTATCCTCTTCACCACTGATTGGCTTGTTAGTCGCTTGGGCAATCGTCACGTCTCTGTTACACACTTCACTCAATTGACTGTACTGTAATACATAACTAATCATGTCTTAGTATTTGCGATTAAGGTTGGGTGGGTGATTATTTGGTCACGTTACAAACCTGACCCAGTGTTGGGTGGGGGATTAGTGGGCCTTATGACCTGAATATGTTTTGAATGACATTATTTTTTACCTATGAGGTATATACATAGTACTATACTGCATTGTATATGAAGGGTACATGTATTAATAAGCACAGATTATTACAGTAACGTATCTATACTAATTAATGAAACACAATACAATATTGTATCATGAATGAGTCAGTACAGTAGACAAACAGTGAGACAACTCTTGTGGGAGGGGGTGGCACGGTCACTTCCAACAGAAGATAGATTTATGCTTATTAAATGCCACTGACTTGACTTATGAGAATATAACTTGTATTGTTGGAATTCTTGTAAGATAGCGATTAATATGAGTATAAACATCACTTATTTTGTAACACACACACATGCTCGCACGCACTGGAATTAGCCATTTGGGGGGGTGTCGCGGTCACTTTTACCTCCCAATCGACCCTTCGGCTTCAAGGAGGGGGGTTGACAGCCAGTTTAAAATTGAATGTTTGTGTGGCCTTTCCATTCTAAAAGTTGCTGTGGGAGGGGGGGGGTGGTCTAGCTCAAGACTGGCTGTGTGTGTAGTGTATTGCTTTACCAGACCAAGACGTGTGTGTGTGTGTGCGCATCTCATTTCCAGTTCAAGACTGGTTGTGTGTATTTGTGGCATTTGCAATTTATGACTGGCTGTTCGTGCGTGCTTTTCAAGTTCAAATAATAAGTTCAAGGTTACTAGAAGTTAAGTCACTGTTGCTTTCAATATGGAGTATGAGCCAGGGACTATACAGTAATACCCCGATTAACGCGGTTTCGCTTTACGCGATTCTACATTTACGCGGTACCTAGCCAGAACCGAAATTTCATTTTACGTGGTGCATCTACTCATATACGCGGGTGAAGCATAATATTTTTATTTAGCTCTTAAAATTCATACAAATTACCCGGCCAGAATATAATTTACATTGCTGGAATTCTTACAATATGATGATCATTTTGAATATAAACATCATAGATTTTGCATAAGACATACAAATTTTAGATCTAATGTAATAATTTGGTTCACACAAAGCAAATATTTTATCTTTTGTGCAAAATATATGAAGTTTACATTCAAAATATTCCCTGACCTGCAAGGAATCCAGAAATATCAATTATATTATCCTAACTTTAGTCTGAGGTATTATTTATTACTACTATACGTTAAAATCTAGTGTTTTCACCCAAACATTTCTCAGAGAGGTAGGAGCCAGTGAGCTGGGAAGAGGGGGTTGAGTCCATTATTTGAATGGGCATTAACCTGGCGACTGTATTTCTCTTAAATATTAATTGTGTGAGCATACCATCATAAAATTAAGATGTTATTTTTACTACAACATAGGTATTGTGTCCGAAAAAGTGGAGTTTTGGGGTCGGGCCAGTCTCTATTGGAATTAATCCCATATGTTCTGTTGTTCACTTTCCGCGGTACCCCGTGGGTTCAATTGACCGCGTAAATCGGGGTACTACTGTATATTAAACCTGAAGTGACCAGAAGTTTGGGTATTTCTGAAAAGATCATAACCTGGAGACATTATGATTGGTTAGCCTTAAGGTTCGCTGGCAGTGGACAAGGTCATAGGTCAAATTAATGTAAATTCCATTTTTTTTTTATTGAAATTTGTCATCATAAATACTCCCCATAACAAATTTCTGAAAAAAATAACGATTCTCCAATCAAAGCAATACAGTTAGTGCGCTGAAGCTTTAGTTTAAGGAATGTTTTGCAAGAGGCAGGTAGCATAGGCCTGTAAACTTATCTTGTCAAAGGAATGATTAAGCTTGCTTGGGGCTTACAACTTCTTGTAGATATGAAGTTGATTCATTCATCCACTGCAGTTTGTAGAATGTTTCCCTGTTTAGCGGTGTAATGATCCTCCATGGTGAAGTTAATTGTCCTCCTAACAAGCGTGCATATAACTGACATGACCATTCATCTATGAGGAATGTCAGCAAAGATGTTTAAAATGAAGCCAATAATAATGCTCTGGGAAATTTGCTGGGATAGTCCTTTAGTCGTCTACTGTATGTAGTCTAATGTCCACGCCCACGACCTTAATGGACGGTCCATCATGTATGTCACAGACGATGTGTACAACCCTGCTAATTAAGCAACCATGCTAAAGGGCGACTTGCATCACTACCAAATGTGGGAGGCGAGCTTATCAAGACAGAGGGTTTTAGTTTTTTGCTTATAAAATGTCATTGAATTGACTTAGGAGAATATAACTTGCGTTGCTGAAATTCTTGTAAGATGGTGATTCATTTATAAACATCCCTTATTTTGCACCAGACAATAATTTTAGTAGTTAACTTGGTACATCGGAGTACAGGTTGTGATAATTTATGTGGTTGCAGTTTCAAAGCTTTGTGACATCACTAATGTATAATGAGTCTCCGTATGCCCTGGTTTATTCATTGATCATTTGTCTAAGTGTAAAAGTAGCCCAGTCGAGCTATCATGTGTCAATTTATTTAAAAAAACTGAAATTATAATGTAAAATGTTATAAGACAATGGTTTAGTAGTGCTGTTAATGGGTGTGCAGTGTAAGTGTCTTGGCATGTTACCTCACCACCTGACTCCTGAACAAACTCTTCATCAACTTCTTCAAACCCTACAATGTGCTTATGTTACACACACACACACACACACACACACACACACACACACACACACACACACACACACACACACACACACACACACACACACACACACACACACACACACACACACACACACACACACACACACACACACACACACACACACACACACACACACACACACACACACACACACACACACACACACACACACACACACACACACACACACACACACACACACACACACACACACACACACACACACACACACACACACACACACACACACACACACACACACACACACACACACACACACACACACACACACACACACACACACACACACACACACACACACACACACACACACACACACACACACACACACACACACACACACACACACACACACACACACACACACACACACACACACACACACACACACACACACACACACACACACACACACACACACACACACACACACACACACACACACACACACACACACACACACACACACACACACACACACACACACACACACACACACACACACACACACACACACACACACACACACACACACACACACACACACACACACACACACACACACACACACACACACACACACACACACACACACACACACACACACACACACACACACACACACACACACACACACACACACACACACACACACACACACACACACACACACACACACACACACACACACACACACACACACACACACACACACACACACACACACACACACACACACACACACACACACACACACACACACACACACACACACACACACACACACACACACACACACACACACACACACACACACACACACACACACACACACACACACACACACACACACACACACACACACACACACACACACACACACACACACACACACACACACACACACACACACACACACACACACACACACACACACACACACACACACACACACACACACACACACACACACACACACACACACACACACACACACACACACACACACACACACACACACACACACACACACACACACACACACAGAGTCTTGTTGTGTGCCAGCATGGAGGCTTATCACTTGTAACATTGGTGCATGTTATCATTCCTTTCCACTCTCTGCTTTCTTACTTCTTTTTTAAAATGTTATGTTATGTACAGTGGTCCCTCGGTTAACGAGCGCCTCGGTTAACAAGATTTCGGTTAACGAGTTACCTTCCATAAGATTCTTAACTTCGGTTAACATCCCTCGATTAACGAGTTTCTTACGAGCCGACCTCCACATGTTTTAGCTTGCATTTGGCGGCCCACCAGCTGTAGTATTAGTCTGCCAATACAGTAATCGGTTCTAGGGCTTAAATTCCTTACCCTTTTAGTAAATATCAAGAAGTTTATACTATTCAATAATTTTAAAAGTTTAATATAAAAGTTTTTTAGTCATTTTAACAATTATTGAACATAATTGAAGGTAGGGTCACTAGTTTGTGGCACGCCATCCAGCCTGCCAACACAGCATACAGGCGTCAGTCTTTGTGTCTTTTCAGTGGAGGTAACATCTTGCTTGTGACTCTCTTCAACTAAACGCTTTTTTCTGTGTTTACAAGCAAATTATTGGTAATTTTGAAATTTATTTTACATATTGACAATATATAATGCAGTGCAATGTTGATTTAAAGAAAATAATCTTGAATTACACCAAGTGAACTAAAATTTTATGGGTGAAATGGCACCATGGGGTGACTTCTCTTCCACCCCAATGCCTTCTCTTCTCCCTTCTCCTCCACCCCCATTCTAATTCCCATCATCATCATCATCATCATCATCATCATCATCATCATCCAGGAGCCTTCTATGTACACACCTCAAAGTAAGTGTACTTTACTACCTTTTATGTTGAATTTAGGCAATTTTCGGTGAGCTGGAACCAATTACCCAAAAACCTATTGAAACAATGGTTTCGGTTAACGAGTTTTTCGGTTAACGAGCAACCTTCTAGAACGGATTGTGCTCGTTAACCGAGGGACCACTGTAATGTTGAAGGAATACAATTGTGCTCAATTATATTTATACTTGCCACAATCTCCCTAAAAATACTTTGTTTCGTGTTTATTCAAGATATTAAGGTCATGAGACCCACTAATCCCCCACCCAAGAAAGGGTGACCTGACATTCCATCAGAAGGTCAGTAATATGAAACCACTAACCCCCCGCCCTACCTCCACCTGACATTGAGATCAGGTGAGGTCCCCCCCTAAAAATACTTCAACTTTCATCTTTATTCAAGACATTTTCCGAAAATTCTCTCGATTTCAACCTCAGAAAATTTCTTCCTAAAGCCGGAAATTTTGGGAAAATTCCGGTATGGGAATGATTTTCCGAGCAAATTTCCATACCGTCTATCGGAGATTCCCGGGTTTGAGGGATTCCGGTTAACGGAGATATTATTGTATTGTCTTTCCATTGTCACTACCACAACTAACTATCACTGTGTGGACCTAATGTCCATACAGTGTTTTTTCATGTTTATTTATTTGTTTTTCCACATTTATAATATTGTCTTATGCATACATAATGTTGTTATACATGTGCTTATAGCTTTTTATTTATGTATTTTGCACTCTCCTGGAACTGGCTTGAAGAACATGCGGATTTTTCTTTTTCTTGGGGTCCATTTTACCTAACCCTAGTGAGCTTTAAGGGAATATTGTACATGTACTTGCAAAAATGGTCATTGTCTTTGCAAAGATGGACCAGCCATTTGTAGACATTTTTTATCCTTCAAGTTTTGGTTCATTTCAAACACTTAATTGGAAATACAGCATTGGAAAAATCTATTTGAAACAGATAAATTGTAGTTAAATTGCATATTTGAAAAAAATGTAGAATCCACTTAAGTAACAAGGCTCTTGTCTGCTGTGATTTTTCTTGAAAATGAGGTGTTTTATAAAATTTCCAACTTAATTTCAGATGATGGCTACCGACTGACCAACATGGGTTATGACTATTTGGCCCTCAAGGTTCTTTCTTCACGAGATGTTTTGGGTGGTGTTGGAAGTCAGATTGGTGTAGGCAAAGAATCTGATATTTATGTGGTGAATGACATCTTAGGAAATCCACTTTGTATGAAACTTCACAGGTAAAGTCATAGCTATATTTAATTATGCTCCATGTGTTGATGAATGTTTGCTCTTCATACTCCATACCCCCAAGTTCTATATTGTACATAAAGAACATTTTGTTACTCTTGCACAAGTTTATATTTACATGCCCTCTGTACATTTTAAAGTATTCTGTGCTTTGTTGCAGGCTTGGTCGAACATCATTTAGAAAATTAAAGGAGAAGCGGGATTACCATAATAACAGACGCCGGATTTCTTGGTTGTATCTGTCAAGATTATCGGCAACAAAGGAATATGCCTATATGAAGGCTCTCCATGACAGGGGTTTTCCTGTACCTCGACCAGTTGACTCTTCCAGACACTGTGTCATCATGGAACTTGTTAATGGTTATCCTTTGTAAGTGTTTTGTAATGTTATGGACTTTATTTTATATATTTATTTATTAATTTTTTATTTTTTTGGACTAAAGAACTACAGGTCGAACCTTCCTGATCCGGAATTTCTTGATCCATCACTGCCTGAGGTCTGGCACAAATCTTTCTTGTTATATGTTGTTTTTTGTTATGCTTCCAGCACTTATTTCCTAGTGCCAATACCTTAAAATTGTATAGCAACACTAATACATTATTTTATGATGGCTTATTTACTGTATATACTCTGGTACAGTATACAGTACAGTGATCCCTCGGTTAACGAACGCCTCGGTTAACAAAATTTCGGTTAACGAATTACCTTCCATAATTTCACTTTGGTTAACAAAAAAATTTCGGTTAACGAATTCCTATCGAATTTTTCCCAACATGTTTTCGCTTGCATTTGGCTGTTCACCAGCTGTATTATTAGTCCGCTAATACAGTAATAGGTTCTAGGGCTTAAATTCCTTACCATTTTAGTAAATATCAAGAAGGTTGTACTATTCAATAATTTTAAAAGTTTTTATTAAATTTTTTAGTCATTTCAACAATTATTGAACGGAATTGAAGTACAGGAAACTAGTTTTTTGCGCGTCAAACAGCCACTCAACACACCAAGCTTGGCGTCAGTTTGTTTATAGGTTCAGAGGAAGGAACATCTTGTTTGAGACTTCAACATAAATGCTTTTTTCTGTATTTCCAGTCAAATTATTGGTCATTTTGAAATATATTTTACATATTGATAATATATAGCGCAGTGCAGTGTTTATTTAAAGAAATTTTTCTTTATTTACAGCAATAAAACTTAAAATTTCAGTGTTGAAATCAAATCCAGCATGGCTCCAAAGAAATCGAGAAAAGTTATTTAAATCCAGGTAAAGCAGGAAATTATAAAGGAACATGAACAGGGCATTAGAACAAATGTGCTTAGTAAAGACTATGGCATGTCGGCATCAACTGTGTCGACAATTCTTGCACAGAAAGACAAGTTTAAGGAAGTGAAAGTGAGAGACAAATCTACCAGACTGTTTAAAGGTAGATCCCTAATAGCAGAAACAGAGAGGTTACTTCTCATTTGGATCAGGGAAAAACAAATGAAAGGTGATTCAGTTTCTACAGAATTTATTTGTGAAAGAGCCAGGGAGATTTACGAACATTTAAAGGAAGATCAACCTGTTTCTTCTGGCACAAAGTTCGAAGATTTTCGGGCAAGCAAGGGCTGGTTTGAGAAGTTTAAGAAAAGAAGTGACATTTTCAGTGTTACTAGGCATGGTGAGGCTGCAAGTGCAGATAAAGGAGCAGCAGCAAAGTTTGTAGTGGACTTTAACAAACTGGTGGATGAAGAAAATTATCTTCCACAGCAAGTGGTCAATGTGGACAAAACTGGGCTGTTTTGGAAGCAAATGTCCAAAAGAACATTCATCACCAGAGATGAAGCCTCTTTACCTGGGCATAAACCCATGAAAGACCGTCTCACTCTATTGTTTGGTGCCAATGCTTCAGGGGATTTCTGACTGAAGCCTATGCTTATCTACCACTCTGAGAACCCCAGGGTGTTCAAGCAACAAAAAGTGGTAAGAGGAAAGCTTGGAGTTTATTGGAAGTCCAACCGTAAGGCATGGGTGACAAGACCCCTCTTTATTGAATGGGTTGTTGAGGTGTTTTGCCCTTCTGTCAAGAGCTACCTAATCACCAATAAACTCCCTATAAAGGCTCTTCTCCTTAAGGATAATTCCCCTGGTCATGACCCTGAACTTGCCAGCACTTTGGAGGCTCAATTTAACTTTGTCAAAGTGATGTTTTTGCCTCCCAACACTACATCAATCATGCAGCCAATGGACCAGAATGTGATCAGCATCTTCAAGAAGTTGTATATGAAGAAAATGTTCAGGAGGTGTTATGAGGCAGCTCCCACTGATCCTGAACTAACACTGGCACAGTTCTGGAAGACACAATTTAACATCCTGGAGGCTGTAAAATTGATTTGTGTCATCATGGCAAGAAGTCTCCATTAGATCCCTCAGTTCTGCATGGAAAGCATTGTGGCCATCAGCAGTTCATGATTTTGAGGGATTTGTAGAAGAAGCAGAGTTGGACAAGGAGATTGTGTCCATTGGTCAGTCATTGGGCCTCGAAGTGGAGGAGGTTGATGTGGAAGAGCTTGTGATGCCTTATGAGCAGGAACTTACTTCTGAAAAAGGTTGATGTCTTATGAACATAAGAATGGAAGAAACTGCAGATGGCCTATTGACCCATACTGGGCAGTCCCATTTATACCCAACCCCTATTGCTCATATAAGCATCCAACCTATGTTTGAAGCTATCCAGCGTATTCGAGTTAATGATGAAATTTGGTAACTTGTTCCATTCATCCACTACTCGGTTTCCAAACCAGTTTTTACCTATTTCACGCCGAAATCTAAATTTGTCTAATTTAAAACCATTGTAACGAGTTCGCTCCTGGTTGGATAATTTGAGTACCCTCGTAATGTCCCCTTTGTTTAACCCAGACTTCCATTTATACACCTCTATCATGTCGCCCCTCACTCTACGTCTCGAGGGAGTGCAAATTAAGATGCTTTAACCTGTCTCTATATTCAAGGTTCCTAATGCCCAGGATTAGTCTTATCATTCTCCTGTGGAAGAGCTTGTGATGTCTTATGAGCAGGAACTTACTCCTGAAGACTTGCAGCAACTGGATGAGATGTTAGAGGCTGACAGTGGTGAGGAGGAAAGGGAAAGTGATGACCATATGTCAACTTCAGATTTGAAAGATGATGTTCACTACTGGGATAAGTTCAGGAAACTGGCTTCAAGGCACCCAGATGTGGAAACAACAGAACCTATTTTGTGTAATGTTGAGGACAGAGTGGTCTCCTTTTTCAAAAATCAGTTAATGATGAGGAGGAGAAATGCCCCACAACCAAAAACTGACAGTTTCTTCACTAAAAGGCATCGGGAAACAGATGCTACCCCTCAGCTTTCCACTTCAAGAATGAGAGAGGATGTTCCTGCTGGAGAATCTGTCAGTCCAGAGGTTCCTGACATTTTCATGGAAGGTGACTCACCTTCCATGAAGCAGTAAAATGCTTCTCCTCCTCCACCTCCCACTTCAAATTCACATCAGCATCATCATCCAGGAGCCTTCTACATACACACCTCAAAGTAAGTGTACACTTTACTGCATTTTTTTTTTTTACTTTAGGTAATTATCGGTGAGCTGGAACCAATTAACCACAAACCCATTAAAACAATGGTTTCGGTTAACGAAATTTTCGGATAACGAACAACCTTCTGGAACGAATTGTGTTCGTTAACCGAGGGACCACTGTAGTTATAATTATTCTTATCAAATTTTATGCAAAAAGTTTGGGGTCGAACTTTACAGTATACAGTGATATCCCTGTTAGCCGGAACAATTGGTGCAGCGCACTTCCAGTGATGAGAGATTTCCAGGTGACAAGACGGCTTTATCAAACCCAGAAAAATTCCTTATTCCCGGAACCTTTTCCGGTTACTGGGAAAAGTTTCCGAGTGTCTAAACTAGACCTCTTGCACGGACGCAAACTAGCCCACTTCCCCAGAACGTTTCTGGGTGCTGGAGATGTTTTCCTTGAGCCTAAACTACTGGAATCCGTAAATACAGTTCTAATTTAGTTAGAAACTTCATTTCTTTCCCATAATAATCCAGAATAGTTTATATAAAATTTTAGTTAAATACATTTAAAAATTAAAAATCTATAGGATGTGTGCATGAATGAAGCTGTGTGTTACAGCAAAGACTGTTATTTTCCACTCCCATGGAGGTGTGGGAGATTAGTGGGTCTCGTGTAACTGACCTGACCTAATGCAATGTCAGGTGGATGTAGGGTGGGGGATTAGTGGTCTCATATTACTGACCTGATGGAATGTCAGGTCACACTTTCTTGGGTGGAGGATTAGTCTGTCTCATGACCTGAAGATGTCTTGAATAAACACGAAACCTTCAGTATTTTTAAAGAGATTGTGGGAAGTACAGATATAAGTATAAATGAGCAAAGTTGTATCCCTTCAACATTATGTTACTTAACATTTCAAATATGGAGTGAGAAAGCAGAAAGGTGAGGGTGATTAGAGAGACGGAGTGGAGTGTTGCCAAGAACTCCTCAACAGCTGATATTTAACTTGATACCATGCAGTCGCACACATGCAGAAGTGTCGTACAATAAGGCCTTCACTCCTTATGCTTGCTGTCTTAATTCCCTTGTTAGGGGTGTGTGAGTGGTGTTGGAATGTGTGTAGGGGTGTGATTCTGGGGTGTGTGTGATGCTGGGGTGTGTTTGTGTGATGTAGGGGTGTATGTGTGATGTGTGGGTGGTGTTGGTGTGTGTTGATGGAAGTGAACCTTTTGAGTGGTAGGGTCGTGTTGTCAGCCCCTCCTCCTCCTCACTCAAGTGAGACTAATTGGGATAGGGAGATGAATTTGATACCATAGTGATCCTTAATAAATTCTCTATGAAACTTTTCCAATAAGATATCCTGAAACAAAATATTTCTATATGATAGATGAGTGATGAGAATTCCATTCGTTACAAAAAAAAAACGTAAGAAATGTTGATACTGGAGTCAGTAAAATCAGTTCTGATGTTTTTTAGACAAATTTTTTTTTAATCAAAATCATCCTGAATACTTTATCTAAAAGTTTGGTTAAATAAATATTAAAAAAAAAAAAAATCTATATGATATGGGCGTGAATAGAGCTGTGTTACTGTATATATTGTACTGCAGCAGATCCTGTCATCTTAGCCTAGACTAGGCAGACACTTCACTCAATTGACTGTAATACATAAATAATCATGTCTTAACATTTGTGATGAAGGTTGGGTGGGAGATTATTGGGTCACGTTGCTATTCCGACCTGATGCAATGTTAGGTCACCCAGTGTTGGGTGGGGGATTAGTGGGTCTTATGACCTGAATACCGTATATGGCGGCGTATAAGTCGATCTTTGAAGCCCAATTTTTGGTGTCCAAAGTTAGTTGGTCAACTTATATGAGGGGTATAAAATGATGACCTCTAAAATCATGACTGTAAGTGAGAGTATTTCGTATCACAACCTTCATATTTACCTTTAATATAATTTCTCTATTTCTATTATGGATGAAATAAAGTTTTTCTCAGTAGATTTATTTAAATGCCTTTTGTTATTGATAGCTGAAATTTAGTTAACATATTGATAACATAATACAGTACAGGGAACAGTTTTTGTTTGACCTTCATCTAATCGAATCACCCACCAACGCTTATAAGTTTAACTTTGTTTACAGTGGAGTGAACATTGAGTTTGTTGGTCTCTTGAATATTTTTGCATTTTTACATTAAAATTATTGGTCATTCTGAAATTTAGTTAACATATTGATAATATATAGTGCAGAAATTATTATGAAACACGAAGGCATTAGAACCAATGCACTCTGTAAAGAATATGGCATGACATCTTCGACTGCCTCTACAATCAGCTGTTTGAAATGTAAACAAAGCTGCCGGGAATACGACATACACACCTCAAAATAAGTTAAAATACTGTACAGTATTATATTGTTTTTTATATATTATTGTACAGTATACTGTACAGTACAGTACTGTGTTTAGTTTATATTTAATGTTTTGTTAATTCTATTACTGCTATACAGTACTTTGTATGAATATTTTTTCTGTGAGTTGGAACCAATTACCCAATATCCCATTGACATAAATGATATATTCAGTTAAAAAAAAATTTCGGTTAACAACCGACTCTGTGGAATCAATTGTGTTCTTTAATCGAGGGACCACGTATACTGGTCTACAGTCATATGTCCCTCAATATCCGTCAGTTCACCTACACCTCCCCACCACATCCATCCATTCTTGGAGGTTTTCATACGGCCGCTTGTCAATGTCTCATGGATGTTTCTTCGAGCATATCTTGTATTATGTATTCGCCAACACTGTTGACCGACTGCTGCGACAGATGTGAAACATTTTTCATCGGTGAAAATGACAGACCTCCAAAAATCAATCCCTTCATCCGCATACATCTCTGCAAACCTTTTAAGTACTTCTCTGTGTGCCGCTATTAAGGTTTCCTTAATTTCTGGGATAAAACACTGTCAGCTAGTCACCCGTATTCGTCTCCTGGTAGTTATCGGGTGACAGTGAACCCCTGTTCTTGTTATGAGCTCGGCAGATGAGAGTGGTGTTCTCTCTGCTTCCCTTCGTATCTGTTGATCCTCCTCAGGCGTGGTGACTCTTGTCCCTCCTGGTGAGCACGTGACCCTCCTCTTGATGTCGCCTCACCCAAAGCCTAACAGTATCTCTGGAGATACCGAGAAGGCAACTAATCTCCTGTATCCCCTTCCCTGCCTCGTGATATGCAACAATCCTGGTGCGACGTGTTATCACCTCAGGCCGATTAGCCCTCGTCCGTGGTGGCCTCATGTGACCTTGTTGCTAAACCTCCATAACTGTAATAATAAAACGATAAAGTCATTAGTGTATCAGATATCTAATAACAATTGGACATTCATTAATAAATATTCAAAATATTATAGGGTATGGAGTAAATATCAAAATGTGAATGAAGGATGACACTGTATTGAATATCATTGTATATGGAAACCCATTTCCTGTTTTTTACAGCATTGTAGGGTTTGGCAGCTTCTTAATTATCACAGTTAGTCTGTAGATGTTGTAATGGTTGGAGTATTGGATTAGTAGATGGAGAGGTTAGTGAGAGAGGTGATACCTGGTATTTAAAATTCATCCAACACAGGACACAGTCCATGTAGCCAGAAATGGCCCACCTGGTGGGTAGGAGGGGGTTTGTTCCCAATGATTGGGCTTAGAGTTGGTCATGATCATCGTAGTGACATCTAAACTTCAGGGTTTTGGTCATGAAAGGAAACAAGACTTTTTGCAACCAATACATGGCTTTAATAGGTGTTC